GAACAAGTGTGCGTGCACACAAAAACTCACCTTGAATAAAACTTTGTTGGTCTTAAAGGTGCCACTGGATTCAAACTTAGTTCAAGAATTTATTGAGCACCTAAAAGCCAACGTAGTTTTGTTAACAAAAGTTCACAGTGAGGATCCACTTTTCCAGATCTTGGGGGGGGGGGCAGTTAAGTGATAGAGCTCATGCTCTGCATGCAGAGGTTCTTGGGGTCAAACATGGCCATTTACAAGTAAACAAATCTCAGCCCAGAGGGCTGGGAATGACCTGCAGTGGAGACCCTGGAATCCAGTGCCAGTCAAAGTAGGCAATGCTGGGCTAGCCGAGAGGGACCAGTTAAATGGCTCCATATATTTATTTATTTATTTATTTATTTATTTATTTATTACATTTCTAGCCCGCCCTCCCCAGAGGCTCATATAGCCAGTATCTTCCAGGCAGAAATCCTATGCTCACTCACCTGTGGGTGAACTCTGCTGAGCCATACTTCTGAGTAAATATGTCTTTGATCAGCCTGAATATCATCAGCAAATCTGATCTCCACTTTGAAGAATAAAACTCTCTATCGTTATGACCAGTACAATAATTATCAAAGCAAAGTCAAAATGGCGTTTTCCTTATAGTGGTGCTGTGTTTGCTTATTTGTAATTTTTTAAAAAAACATTATATCCCGCTTTTCCTCATGGTTCAAGGCAGCTTACAATAACTGTTAAAACATTCTCAGTTAAGATAAAAAAACAAAATGGCAAACCCCAAGTCTCTCTCCCCACTCCCCCCCTTAAAAGATTCCTGCCAATTCAAATTCCTTCAAAAGCCCTGGCAAACAGGCAGGCCTTGCAACGTCTCCGGATGATCTCCAAGGAGGGGGAAGCAAAATGGCAGCTAAATAAGACAAAAAAATTAAAAGAAGATAAGCTGCTTTTTGAATGTTTGGAGAAACCTATGCCGAAAATTGAAAGAAAAAGAGGGAGCAAATGTAGTCCTAGAAGCCTCCAAGTTTTGTGGCAAAGACTTGGCTTAAAAGGCACGGATCCATTAAAAAAGAGCCTGAATTTGCAGTATCCTATGTTTCTATACGTGCTTCTTTTAGCCCTGGGAGAGTATACCAACAGGCAACAGTAAAATAATTCAAGCAGCAATCACCACCAAACAAGAGAAAATAAAACTTGGTTTACATAGGAACCTTCATCCATATGTTCTCCCCATAAGATTGATTTGCAGCTTTTCCTAAATATTGCCATTCAACATAAATAAATCTTTTTTAAAAACCTATTATGTTTTCAGTTGTGTTGTTGGAAGACTAATTGAATAAACTGCAGCAAAGGAAGTTTCATCTAAATTTACGAACTTCCTGATGGTGAGGTGTGTTTAACACTGGGGCAGTCTCCCTCATGAGATGGTGGATTCTTCATCATTGGAGGTTTTAAAGTATCAGTTGGATACCTACTTGTCAGGGATATTATAACTGTAGTTCCTGCATTGGCGGGGATTGGGCTAGATAACCCTGGTTGTACCTTTCAGCTCTGAGATTGAATAAGTCTTGTTATGTAACAAACAGAGGGAACTTACCAAGAATTGACTGAACTGACTTCAAAATAGGGAGATCAGAATTCTTTTGGACTGAATGGAACTCTTCTTGATAAAGTGTTTATCTCATCAAGCAGATAAGGAATAGGGGCGATGAGCAATGTAGTGAAATAACCTGGCAAAATATCATGAGTTGATAAGTAACTCGATCATATTAAAGGTTTGGTAGAACCGTTTAGGATGTGCTAGAAGGTATCAGTAGCCTGCCCCCCACTAAGCTAGCTCTGGACTCCGAAATTTCAGGTGAGGAGCATGAAAAGCCAGAAACATGGCCTGAGGGAGAGCAGGAAACTCTGGGAGAGTTCCATTTCAGATCCTTGGGCAACTAAGTGCTGGCCCAGGACCAGCGACAAGCCCACTGGGATCCACCTCTACTCAGCAGGAGCAGCGGAAGCAGTGGGCTCATGCTGAACTACAGTGCCAGGCTTGCAGTCCATGGTCACCTCTTGGGACAGACCTTGGTTCCAATGAATGTACTCCTTTGCAGGATTCTAGCTCCAGTAAAGCTGGACACTATTAGTCCCAAGTGCTGCTTGCAGAGCAGGTAGAGCTGCTTCCCTCTTGGTCTGTTTAAGGCTTGGGCTGGGAGGGGAATCTTCCTGGATCAACTGGTCCACCAGTCATAAAACTAGCGCTACCAGCTCTGCAAGCCTGGCCATCCCAAGGGCCAACAGTCTGGTCCCACTCAAGGAAAACTCACTAGCCCTAACATCAGGGTATAGGACACAGTCCATCCCAATTAGGAAGCAGTTCTCAGTTGACGGGATGTTGGACTGTGGCAAGAGCTAAACTACCACATTAAAGGGCATAAAAATTAGTCATGCAGCAGTCATGTTGGACTGTGGTAAGAGCTAAGCGACCACATTTTTAAAAAATAATCTTCTTACTAATTTTCCAAAAGCTACCACGTTAAAAGGCATAAAAATTAGTCATGCAGCAGGAAAATCTTTGTTGATCTTAAAGGTGCCCCTGGACTCAACTTTGTTCTATTGCTTCAGACCAAAGTGGCTACTCACCTGTTTGTACTTTCGTCTGTCAAGTCTGTTGCTCTCCAGTACCGTCTTTCCTGTGAAGACTGTTGCTGAGAGCCTCCCAGCCCCGCTATGCTAATTCTAGAGACTAGCTGCAAATCCAGCAGATAATTCTGTGGCCTCTGTCCCTGATACATAGTCAATATTTGCTCCGTTTAATGGTTAATAAGGAACACTGACCATTATATAAATGTGCTAGATAAAAACTAAAGGCAGGAGTATGTTATACCAGGCAAATGAGCTAGGTTTCTTCAGAAGACTCTGTGAGTATTTATTTTGTTTCATTTATTTAATTACATCTTTGAATTGCCTAATCCCCACAGTTGTGGGGCTCTAGGTGATGTACAAATTTTAAAACAATAACACTGTAAAAATCATTATCAAAATATATGGTTCAGTAATTAAAGATCAAGAGGCGAAATTTTGTGATTCCTTCTCACTATCTTGTCTATGCTGCCTCATGGGTGGGGAGGGGTTAGAGGTGCTAAATTGTTCAGGGGACAGAGATCCAGGAAGGGTGCCAGCCATGATGTAAGTAGGGTTGCCAAGTCGTACCTCATGCTGCGGTGGGGGAGTCCCGGTTCGCTCCCGGAAGTGACGTGGCTGCGTCGGGTGCACCAGGGGTGGGGCCGCAGTCATCCAAGGGGAAAACATAGAGTTTTCCCTCGGATGACCGTGGCCCCGCCCCCGACATGCCTGGCATGGCTGCATCACTTCTGGGTGACATGCTGACGCTGGGCACATCCCGTGCTTTGGGGGTGGGGTTCCCCCCAGGGCCCGATCTGCCGGCGGCGGGGAACGGGCCTCTAAGGCGGGGGTTTCCCCGCCCCCGGGGGGACTTGGCAAGTCTAGATGTAAGCCATCGCTGTCCTCAACCAAACGCCTGGCAGGACATCTCTGCCTTACAGGCCCCTGTGGAACTGCATGAAGTCCTGCAGGGCCTTGATGTTTTCTGGCAGAGAGTTCCACCAGGTCAGGGCCAAGGCCAAGAAGGTCATAGCCCTGGTCGAAGACAGCCGGATATCTCTAGGGCCGAGGACCCACCAGCAAGTTGTTCTGTGAAGAGTGGAGCGTTCTCCTGGGGGTATACCCGAGGACATTGGTCCCAGACCTCTCAAGGCCTTAAAGGTCAAAACCAAAACCTTGAACTTGACTCGGTAATTCACCGGAAGCCAGTACAGCTGGCACCGCACAGGTCAAATATGTGCAGTCTGTGGTGTCCCTGTCAGGACTTGTGTTGCCGCATTCTGGATCAGATGGGACTTCCAGGTCAGTCTCAAAGGCAGGCCAGCGTAGACCGAATTGCAGTAGTAACATATGCTATTCCGGAGTTTGAGCTACCACTATTTATTCTCTCTGCAAAATACTTTATGTCTGTCCATTCCCTTTGTCAATCAAAGCAAAACTACTAAGTCTATCAAAATTTATAGCTTAATTCTGTCAATCAAAGCAAAACTAAGTCTATCAAAATTTATAGCTTAATTTATACCTTAGGGCAAATACACTGCTTTATCATGTAAGAAGCAGAAGTCTCAGATCACAGTAGCATGGCAATTTCTCCCACATATAGAACTTTATTACCAAACCGTCTACAAAAGGGGGAACAACACAGCACAGATGAGCCTAATCCCAAAAGTATACCGTAAAAACATTTTGTGAAGGCAGATAAAATGGTTTCCTTTGCTGTGCAGAAGGTCAACAATATCTTATCCAAAACAGTTATTTCTGGCTTCAAAGAATGTGGAATATTTCTTCAGAGTAATGTAGATCTGAATGCCTAAAATCTGCCACGTGGGATACAATTCAAATCCCATTACAATCAATGGCAGATTTCAATTTATTCTAAATTTTGCCATTAAAGATTCAATTTCTGAAATAAAACAATGCTGAAACTACCTTTGGGCAAAAGATAATGCTCTACAAATCTGCCTTAAAATGAAAATAAAATATTATTTAAAAATATGGTATAACTTTTCTAAAATATGTGAACTAACCATGTTGATGAAATGGTAAACTGTCCCAGGCAAACAATTTGACAGAGTATCTTGATATTTTTTTTAAAAAAAAAAGTTAAAACACCTAAAACCATTTTAAATGAATTCTAATATCAAATTTCTTTGCAGTATACAATTGGTTAAAATTTACTCATCATGTTACTAACAGTAATGATGTACAATGGATTTTGAGTACATGGATCACAGGCCAACATTCTTCTATATGTGTTGTCATTTCAAAGAAGTTAATGAAATAACAGTTCCTAGTGAACTGCACTATTGACTCAAATCCAGTTTTGCTTGTGGAATTGTGTGGAAAGATTAACAGTGTTTTATTCTGTTATGCAGAATCATTTTGTTGCAGAGCATTCACTAATTCCAATGAAGTTCACCCTCTGCCTCTCCTTACTACTAACTGGTCTTCTTCAAGTCCATTGTCATCATGTCCCAGGACATCATGAGGAACAGGAGCACAACGGAGATCAAAACCCACTTGATCATCAACATCACCCTTTGGAAGAAGGGCAGGGAACTGAAATGACGAGCTATAAAAAGATAGTCAAGACTAATGCTGAATTTGCATTCAGATTGTACAAAATCATCACTTCCGATCCTGCTCCCAAAAATGTTTTCTTCTCTCCTCTGAGCATTTCCACAGCCTTTGCCATGCTGACCCTGGGTGCTAAAGCTGAGACCCATCATCAGATTTTCAATGGACTCGGTTTCAACCTGTCAGACATTGAAGAGAATGTGATCCATGGAGGATTTAAACAAATAATTCACACGATTAACCAACCCAGCAATGTAACACAGCTGAATATCGGGAATGCTTTGTTCATAGAAAAGTCACTGAAAGTGCTGCCTACATTCCTGAACAATCTCAAAACCTTGTATGCAGCTGAAGGCTTCTCAACTAACTTCAAGAATTCTACATCAGCAGAAAATGAAATAAACAATTATGTGAAGAACAAAACTAATGGCAAAATCTCCCAAGCAGTTGAGGAACTAGATGAAAGCACGGTCATGATTGTTCTAAACTACATCACTTTCAAAGGTAAGTAATGATAACTGCTAATGAAACTTGACACCAGACTGAAAGATTCAATCAGGAAACAAGAAGGAATTGTCTCTATACCAAGTAAATACGCCTGTATCTTTTTCAAAGGTTTTAACGGTAATCATTAAAAATGCTTATGCAATAGGTAATATTTATTTATTTTTGCGATTTTTATCCCACGCTACCCTGCAGGCGAGCTCAGGGCAGCTTACAACATGTCATAAAACCATAAACAATTCCATACAACACTAATACATTAAAACGTTAATTAAAGCAAGATTAAAATTTTAAGTAAGAAATTCAGAATGTATGTTTCTGAAGAAATGTTTCTGAAGAAATTCAGAAAATATTCCACTAGCAAAAGTATTCAGGGTTCAAAATGATTAGAATTATAAATAAAGCAGTTGGTGATGGGTTTCAAGTAAAAAGTGAAGAAGTGTTGCCAGGTTTCAGCTTCATCATTCGGAATTTGTCTAGAGAGCCATATGCTAAAAGATTTTGGCTTGTATACTACCACCTCTTCCTCTAAGTTACAAAGACTTCCTTGGATTAAAGTGGTTGTTGGAAGAACCTACATTGGATGAAGGCTCAAACACTACTAAGCAGCCTGCTGGATACAACCCTTTCCTTTTATACCGAACATTATTACAATTATAATAATAATTCAATTGATACCCTATCTCACAAGTGGGGTCAATCTACTCAGTGGGCTCACTCTATTCAGTGGGCTCACTCAGCGTTGAGTCACTCTACTTGTTACATGCTCTCCCAATGTCCCTCTACTTCTTCCATTGGTAGTGACATCATTCCATATTTTGCTTGTACACTTACAGACTTTTAACATAGTATTCATGGCCTCTTGCATTTAGTGTCTCATTATGATTAAGCATGCTGCTATCCTGCAATAATACATGAATGTGTGAATTAGCATTTACACAACTTAATGTACCTTCCCCCCACCCCCACTCAGGTGTTTGGGAAGAGCCATTCAAGCCTACATCGACCAGGAACCAAGATTTCTTTGTGGATGCAAACACAACTGTGAAAGTCAACATGATGCACAGAAAAGGTGATTACAGTTATCTCTATGATGAAGACCTGTCTTGTTCGGTGGTGAGAGTGCCTTACAATGGAGATTACTCAGCATGGTTCATTCTACCAGATGAAGGGAAACTGACAGATGTGGAGCACACTTTGACAGGAGAAGTTATGACCAAATGGGGAAAATCTGTAAGGCATGGGTAAGCTTTCATCTTGCGGTCTCTTAAAAATGACTGCTGTATTATTAATAGCTCAGTATAAGATAAGTGAAGGCATTTGTTGTAAAAACACACTGGATCCAGGCCTGTAGCCAGCGGGGAGCGATGGGGGTTGCACCCCTTATACAATCTTCAATGCCCCCACAGACCACAACAGAGCAGCCCCAGGAAGAAAGGACCCAGGAGCTGCACCATGCCTCTCCAGCCACTGCGGGCGCAAGGAATGTGCAGAGCCAAGAGAGCCCTCTCCTCTTTCTCTCCTCCTCCTTCTCTGGCTTACAGAGGTGGGGCCAGCAGTGGTGCCTTCCCAGGCCCACCCCCGCCCAGCTCCCATAGTTGCCACCAGCACTGTCCTTCCTGCAGCACATAGAGCAAGTGAGCGATGTCGGCTGGTGGGTGCTGCCATTGGCGCTGGGCTGATGTGGCTGCACACATGGGCTGAGCTGGCCGTCCTGCTCCATGCCTGGCGAGGCTGGTGCCAGCCGCTGTGGAAGCCCAGCAGCCTGGTGCAGTGCTTCACCAGCTGGTGCCCCAAGTGGATGGAGCACATACTTTTTTTGGGGGGAGGATTAAATAATTTGAAATAATATGAGCAGGTGAAGACATTTTTGTTTCATCTGGCATACCCCAATAATGGTTACTGGCCCTCCTTCTAGTTTTGTTTGGTTATGTGTTTTAATTGAATTATTTTACAATGTTAACTATATTTTAATCACTTAAATATTTTTATGTTCTCTGCCTTGTGGACCCAGATTGGGTGGAAAGGCAGAATAAAAATGTTTTACATAAAATAAAATAAATCAGCATCTTGCATTTGGTGTTCTCTTATGTGTGTCTAGAGTTCAAGGGAGAGGCTCACATCCTTATTGCAGTCAAGAATTGGTGGAAAGTGATTTCTTAAAGGGGTGGTCTTAAGAACACAGCAAATCCTGCATACCTTTGTATGACATATTTTATTACAACATTCCAATAATAATGAGAAGATATGATTTTTCATGTCATAATCTAATTCTTCCTGTATTAGTGTCTGACTGTGTGACATCTATGGGTTGGTGTGAAATTCATTTGGAAGTTGTGTTTCTGATGGTGATTAAAAATTATGACCAATTCCGCAAAAGCAGTTGTTCCACCCTCGGTCTGCCATTTCCCCCGGCTGTACTGCTCAATTTCCCACTATTTGCTGCATGGCCGCATTTTGACCTGCATCTCCCCCCAATTTCCCTCACATTGTTGCCATGAAGCCACTTCAGATTAGTAAAGACTCTTAAATATGACTGCTTTGCTGAAATGTGCAACATGAGAAATCGGGGGGAAATGCAAGTCAAAATGCAGCCGCGCAGCAAATAGTGGGAAATTGAGCAGTACAACCGGGGGAAACAGCAGACCAAGGGCAGAACAACTGCTTTTGCAGAATCAGTCTATGTATATTTCCTGAGGAGGAAATTTGCCTCCCTGCACTTTAGAGCTTGAAATTCCTAAACCAGCAAAATCTAAAGGAAAGTTGTACAGAAAACCTATTCCTTGCTACTCAATGATTATCCTCAAGTTCAGAGGTCATTTCGGGGGGGAACGCAGTTCCCCCAGGTGAGGTGGGGGCGGGGCACACGACGAAGCCACACCCCCTGCTTCCAGCCGCCCCGCTTCCAGCCCTCATTCAGCCAGGAGGAGGCAGGAGAAGAGGGAGGGTAAGTTGCTTCCTCCCCGCCTCTCCCCATCCCTGCCTGCCTGGGGCCAGGGAGGGCCTTGGCAGGGCTTCCTCACACTCCCGCCGGCCTTGCAGGTCCACCACCGGGCCTTATGATGTCAGGGGGTGTGGCATATGCTAATGAGTTATGCTAATGAGTTCCCCTAGCTCTTTTTCTACGAAATGACCCCTGCTCAAGTTAGTTATTCTCTGGCCACGTTCAGACTGGCAATTTGAAGTGCTAGGGAGTCATGGCAAAGAAAACCCGGAACAGCAAATAGGGCAAGATCGCGCAGGCCCCGACAGCGCCTGCCCACGTAAACAGCCGTGCCTATTACCAATGACTGCAGGCGCCTTAGCAGCGCTTGCATTCACACTCAGGGAACTGGAATCAACCCGCTCTACACACGGTTTGCTACCACTTTCACCTGGTATCTTTTAAACTTGGGAGGGAAGCGGCACAAGACGGCTTGAGTACGGCTGGGGGATGCCTGAAAGATGTGCCTATGTGAACCCACCCCTTTAATCCGCTACTGAAATGCTACTGAAACGTTTGGCTGCCAGGCCAAACAGCCAGTCTGAACTCGGCCTCTGATACTGGTAGAAGAAGGAACATAAAGCACTAGGTGAGGAAAGAAACCAGAATACAGTCAGCATAACTGAGATACCAGAAGAAAAATTTTAAAATACCCTAATGGAAATATTTTATCCTGCTG